TCATCATCATCATCATCATCATCATCATCATCATCATCATCATCATCATCATCATCATCATCATCATCATCATCATCATCATCATCATCATCATCATCATCATCATCATCATCATCATCATCATCATCATCATCATCATCATCATCATCATCATCATCCCAATCAGCATCATCCACATCAGAGAGAGCGTGATCCACCGCCGCTTTACTGTGGAAAATTGCCGCCCTTTTCCTCCGGAACCCGGGGTTCCCCCCCCCCCCCTTCCGAAAATTCCCGCCCCCCCCCCCCCTCTGCTGGACCCCCCCTCTCCCCCTCCCCCGGCAACCCCCCCCCCCCTCCCAAAACCCCTCCCCCCCCCTCCCCCTCGAAAGCCGGGGGGGGTCACTACCCGTTCGAACCCCCACCACCACCACCCCTCGCAAACGGGAGGGAAGGTCACTACTGGTTCGAACCCCTCCCCCCCCCCCCCCTTCTCACCGCCAGCAAACGACTTCCGGTCCCTACCACCGTCCTCACCACATCCCCCACTGTTGTTCCCAGCACCACTCACCACCACTGTCCCCGCTGGTTCCACCACCGCCCCTACTGTCCCCACCAGTGCCACCACCACTGTCGCACTGTCCCCACTGTCCCCACCACTGTTCCCATCACGGCTTTACTCTCCCAACTTTCTCCACGGCCCCAACCACTGCCCGACTTCCGGTCCCTACCACCGTCCTCACCACATCCCCCACTGTTGTTCCCAGCACCACTCACCACCACTGTCCCCGCTGGTTCCACCACCGCCCCTACTGTCCCCACCAGTGCCACCACCACTGTCGCACTGTCCCCACTGTCCCCACCACTGTTCCCATCACGGCTTTACTCTCCCAACTTTCTCCACGGCCCCAACCACTGCCCGACTATCCCCACTGTCCCCACTGTCCCACTGACTCCTCCGTTGTCCCACTGAGCTGTCCCACTGTTCCCACCACTGTCCCCACTGTCCCCACCACTGTCCCCACTGTACCTCTGTCCCATTGTCGTCCTCGCAGCCCCGTCTTCGCCCCCCTCCTTGGATCCGTTGGGCGGGAAAGCGCCGAGCAGGACATTGAAATCGCATCCGAGCGGGCCAACCTCGAGAGCCCACCATAAAAAGGCGTGTAGGGCGCCCACCGCGCCAGGAGCGCGCTGCCAAGCAGCGCACGGCAAACAGTCGGGGCCAGGGGCGGAGTGGCGCTGCCGCCGCACATGCTTCTCGAGTTGCAGGTAGGTTGGGGGAGGGAGATTGGAGAGGTCGCGGTGGATGAAGAATCGGTTGATGCAGCGTCGGGCGTCGCGTCGGGCCATCGTCTTCGGCGAGAACACCTCCCCCCAGTATGTCGAGATCTCAGTTTGCTTTCGATCGGGATCCACGTGGGCCACACCGTCGATTTCGATGGATCCCAGGGTCATCCATCGGTCGAACGGAGCCCAGATGCGGGCTCGGCCTTCCCGACGCCGCAATCGTTGTCGGATGTTCTTCTGGGTGTTGGTATTGTCGGAGGCCCGCAGGGCCCGTTGGTGCTCGGATCGTTTGGCCCCCGCGTCCTCGGTCTAAGTACGGTCCAGCAGGTCAGAGAATTCCGCGAGGCGCTCAAGTAAAACCGCCCCGCCAGCAACGTCGACCGCCAGGTGCTCAGCCGCGAGCGCATGCGCCTGCACAAGAATACTGCCTAAGCGGACATTCCGCCTCCAAACCACACGGGCAATCGCACGGAGAAGTGTAAGCTGGGCAACCTGGACGTTGGCTCTTTCGTCAAAATCGCCTGTCGAATAAATCGAGCCGCGCCCCTGAGGAGATTTCTGAAGATCTGGAGTCGGTAGGGGGGTCGTAGACGGAGAGGTCGACAGTGTCGAGGTGGGCTTGGACGTAGTTTCGGCAGGCAGGGGAACTGAAAATGGCCTTAGGGATCGGCTGCTTCTGGGGGGCCCTGGGGGGGCACAGGTCGGAAATCCACGGCAATGCCTACATGGTCGGAGAGCCCTCGGTGGTTCATGCCATTTTGCATGCCCCGTCGCATGGATTTGAGTCACAATCCAACCTGGTAGCGAGACAAACACGCGATCCATCACAGAGGTCGAGGAGTTGGCGGTGGAGATGCGAGCGGGGTCGGAGAGCTCAATCTCGGCGAGGGAGGAGAAGAGGCTGGTCCACGAGCGGTCCTGCGCGGCACGCCAATCCGCGTAGCCCAGACCTGGGTTCTGCACCTCCTCAGGCACCAAAGGCCGGGGTGGTGTCGAAGAGATATTAAAGCCACCTGCAACAATCACGACCCGAAGGTGTGGTGCTTCCCGAGAGCCCCCCAGGTCCCGTCGGATCGCCGAAATCACCTGTCGCGCTTGCTCCGCAGATAGCCAAAAATTATGTACATTGTAGTAAGTGGCCCAAGCACCACTACCCCCAATATTCAATCGAACGCGAAGCACCCTGCCAGCAACGAGCTCGGTCTCCTCTAAACTGTTTGGAAACCCGCCAGTGGATGTCGGACACCGCGTCCAGAACGTCAGGACCCCACCCGCATTCCGTTGAAGGCAAAACGAACTGGAAACCTCGTGCTTTTTGTGGGCGTGGTAAAGGTAGTTTCGGACCTCGAGCTCGCTGCCACGTGCTTCGTGAATGCCAACAATGCTGGGGTCGGAGAATAGGGAGGCGAGTGGTAATTGAATTTGATCGTGCGGAGGTGGGGGTCGCGGTGGAAAAAGGAATGGGCATTCCAGCTGCAGCACGAAAGAGATCGGAAGTCAGGCCTGCCACCTGACCAGAGGCGGAACAGCTCGCTAAAGCCACCACTCAGGTTGGTCCTCCTCTTTCGCGAACACCTTGGTCGCAATCTCAGAGAGCTTCGCGTTGTCCAGACCCACGCTGTCGATGTGCTTATTGGCCCATTCGACATGTGGTGCTTCATCCAGACCAGGGCGCGGGGTGATGCGTACAAACACCTTCGAACTGAAGCTGAATCATTATTTCTGCTTGTCGGAATAGAACCGGCGACCAGCCTCAGGCTACTCTTGCTGAGTGGCGGAGCGCAGGAGTTTGAGGCTGATCTCTCGCTGGATCTGGAACGGGTTCTTATCGTTGCTGACGTAGAGAGAGGTATCGGCTTTGGTCGCGGTCTTCGCAGTGAGCTGCATCCAACCAGGGTTCGGGCCGAGCGTGCGCATGGCACCGAGGGTCTGGTTGACGCGGCGAGAAGCGTATCCAGCGGCACCTTTGAATCGCACCTGGAATCGCTTGGCGATGGGGCCACCCTCGATGTCCACATCGGTCGCGTCAATGTTGGCGGCCTCCAAGACGGGGAGGAACCCGGTGAGGACGTTCTGACGGGGAACGGGATCACGTGCACGAAGGATGATGATGGTGCTCTCGGTCTTGCGATCGAAGCCGCTGCCACCAGCAGGAATAGCTTGCGTGGCACTGGGAGTTTCAGCACGGATCGCTCCGAGCAGTTGGCGGAGCTCGGCAATCTCGGTCTGCATGCTGCTGATCTTGGAGTTCGGCTCGAAGATCTCATTGCGGATCTGACCGAGCCTCTGCTCCATCTGCTGGTCGATGCGCGCACAATGCGACTGAAAAGAGGTACCGACGGCCACCAGGTTCTGTTGCACAGCTGCCAACGTACGCATAACATAAGCACGAGTGGTGCCCACAAGAGAACGAAGGCCATCCAAGTCCAATTTCGTGGCACGTTGACGTTTGCGTTCACTCTCGTCATCACCAGGTAGAGCGGGAACATCAGAAGCAGCACCACAGGCACGAAGTGGAGTAGCAACGGCATTCGATCCCTGAGATGTGTCGGGGAGTGTCGGCATGTCCTCGGCAGCGGCGGCAGTCTCCTGGAGCTCCTGGGTTGAGAACTGGCCCACGGCGTCGTGAAACTCTGCATCAGCCATCCTTGCGCAAGAACGAGAGAGAGAAAATCTCGAGATTGCCCCCAACAGGGATGTGCCTGAGCAGGTGAAACAAAATGGAAGGGTAGGGTCTCGTGACGCCAGCTGTGGCACCTTGAGCCCTAACCGTGTACTCCCTGACCCAGGGAGGCTACGGGCAACGGCTTGAGACAAAATGGCTACGGTCAACTCCTCCTCCTCCTCCTCCACCTCCTCCTCCTCCACCTCCTCCTCCTCCTCATTTGACGTTAGCGTGTCCTGCAGCATTTTCCACAGGGTACTCGTGTTCAGAATGGTGGCTTCGTGGAAGCGACGCTCGCCACGCCACGCTGAAAGAATCCTCCTCCTCCTCATCATCATCCTCCTTCTCCTCCTCCTCCTCCTCCTCCTCCTGCTCCCCCTGCTGCAGGACTGCCTTGCGGGTAAGACTAACGGGGGCAGCGTGGGGTTAGCCAATCAGCTCACGTAGATCTTTTTCCTGGCGCCTCCCAGCGCCGGAAGCGGCCATGCATGAAGAAAAAGGTCTGGACGCGGGGCCGACACCAGCTACATGCAGCAAAGGTTGTTTTCCGAAAGGTTTCCTGATGCCACCCCTGCCGTCCGACAGAAGCACCCCCACGTCCCATGGCCGGCCAATGCGACAGTACAGCCGGAATCCGACCGAACCGATAACGAAACCGAAACCGAAACCGACACGCCGCAAGCAGCCCAGAAGACTGCAGCAACACTCCCGGCTAGACGCAGGCAAGGTGACGGTAAATCCGGATGATGACAAGCCGAGAATAGATGATGAAAACCGCCGGGTCTGGAAGATGCATCGGGCCCCGCGGCCGTAAAGATCGCCCTGGAAGGATGTGGGAGCGCTCCGAACGCAGTGAAGCGATCCGTCCTCATCGCAGGCCAACCTGACCAGGCCCCGGCCCCACAGCGCACAACGACGCCGTGCGAGCGTCGGGGCGCATCGGATCGCCAGACCATCGGAATCGAATCGGAGCGGGCGGGCCGAAGTCGATATCGAAACGGATCGATCGGATCGAACTGGGCCCCCCCCCCTTCGCCCGTCGCTGCCCAGCCAGTCGGCGGTCGGAGTCCTCCAGGCCGCCCGAGCACGACCTGCCAGCCCCGCTGGGCGGGCTCGCTATCTCGCGGTGCCGCGTGGACTGGTCTCGCTTGGACCTCGGAGCTGGAGGGCGAACGGGGGGCGGCGGTGTCCTGGGAGAGGGGCCGCGGTCGATGTGTCTGGGAATGAAATGACTACCTACCAGACCACCCCAACCCAACCCGAAGACCCGAATTTCGGGTTGGGGGGGTAAGGGTTCTACACGTGTTTTCTCGATGTTTCCCGACCCCCCCCCACTGGAAATCGAGGGTAAATCTGAGCCTTCGGATTGGGTTGGGGTGGTTTGGTGGGTGGTGAGGGGACGTGTTTTTGACACCTCCTGGGCTTCCAGAAGCCACTCCTGGTCCACGGAGTGGAGCATCACACAATCATAAGATGTGCCGGTGGCCAATGAAGAAACAAACATAGGTATCGAGAGAAGAGATGTTCCGTCGGAGATCGAACCCTGACCTCCCAGAGTGCTGTAACATTCACCGGCCCCACGGGCCAGAGGCGTGTTAACGTGTGTATATATATATATGTAGATGTATATATACATATATATATATACATATATATACATATATATATATATATATGAAGATGTGTATGTATGTATAATACCCGTATGTGGTAACAGATGAATTGTATATCTAGTTCGCGCGCGCGGCGGACCCTGGGGGTCCTCCGACGAAAAGCATCCCGGGCGAACACCCCCAGCCACCTCCCAGCCAACTCCTAGGCGGTCGGCGCCACGGATGCTGCACTCCCGGGGGCGGCCTTCCTGGCCCCCTTCACGGCGCCCACAGGATGCGCTCTCTCTTTTGTTATATACTGGCCTTTGGCCCCCGTCACCGTTCCTGGATTTGGGGTCAGAAGCTTGTTGGATGCCTGCTGGAATCTCTCGGGATTCCTATCAGGGGCCTGCTGGAAACAAGTTTGAAGCCTGTTGGGGTTTCGTGGGGGCCGTTGGGTCCTCGTTCGGGTCTCAAGGAGTGCCTCTTAGGGCCTGTCGAGAGCCTGTTCGGGGTCTGCTAGCGGCCTCGGAGTTCATCTACGGGCGGAGTGTTCGAAAGGTCAGCTCGGGTTCCCCCTCTTGGGCCCCTGTTCCAGCCATAGGGCCTCTTGGGCTGTCTTGGGTTGAGTTGGGGAGCCTCTTGGGTCGTCTTGGGCGGCGCCCACCTCAAAACGGATACGCAAAAAACAAGAAATGAAAAGACACACACAGAGACACATAGAAACAAAATAAAACTGTCTTGAAGAGAAGGGACGATATGCGCCTCTCGGGGTCCACTCGGAAGTCATATTGGATCGCTCTTGGGGCGTCTTGACGGCCCCTGGCCCCTTTGAGACACCTCGCGAGCCGTCTGAGACCCTGGAGGCCGGCTTGGGGACTACTCGAGGCAGCCGTGAGCAGTCTTGGCGGCTCTGTCGGATCGCCCTCAACGGTCACGCTGGAGACCCGAAGGGCGGGCCGCGCCCCCCCGCACGCACACTTTCGGACGGGGGCCCGGCCCCAGGGCCACATGGTGCGGTCCCCCGTTGCATGCGCATGTAACTGGGACGACAAACACACCTGAAAATATCATACGGTGGCGATATTTTTTTATCCTATCACCCTGGGGCTTGTCGTGCACAAACAAATTCGGACGCCGTCTTACGGCCCCGCAAACAGAGCTTGCACGGGCCCGCAGCCGACCAGGCCCAGACCCAGAAGCGCGACCGTCACTCCGCGCTCAGCCCGTCCACTGGCCTGGGGTCCGCCGACCTGGCCGCCCTGGCGACCCTGCCTCGCTCCTGTGCGTCCGCCGCGCTGGCAAAGCCGAAGGAGCTCAGGGCTCCCTCGAGCCCAGGGCGAAACCGCCTCCCAGGGGCAGGCGGGGCAGGTGCCCGATCCCTCCTCCCTGGGGGCTCCACTGCTGGGGCTCTGGAGCCTGCAGGGGCCACGGAGTCCCCTACGCCCCCAGGGCCCGCGACCGAGCCTAGCGCCTCGGCCCACCTGGCACGGGTGGCCGCTGTGGGCCGAGCCAGCTGGTCGATCGGCTGCTTGGATTTCCCAGGCAGGATCGACTTCGCGAAATCATTCCGCGCCTGCGCCCTTGAGCCCTTTTTGGCCCTGGGGTCGTCAGCGCGCTGGGCCCCGCTGCAGGCCTTGGCCAGGCCCCTGTGGCAGTACTGGGGCTTCAGGCAATACATCCAGCACGCCACACACACCAAAAACTCAGGGCCGTCCCCGCCCGAAACGCGCGATTCACGAAGACGGTGGCCGTTGACCTCCCAGACTCCCGATTCGCCAGGGTCGACCTGGGATAGGCCAACACGCGAAACACTCGAAGAGGAGACCCTCGACCTTTGGCCTGAGTCTGGGGTCTCCAAAAGGGGCCCTGGGGTCCTCCTCTGGCCAGGAGGGCCCGAGAGAGCACGCGGAGGCGGGGCGGCGGCCGCAGAAGAAGGAGAGGCCACAGGGGGAGGAGGGGGAGGGGGCTGCGACACAGCCGACATGGGCGGGCACTGTGCGCCCGCGGCTGAGAGCGCTGTCCGCTCCGCCTTCTCTGCACGGCGACGCTGGACCGCACGAGGCAAAGCCGCCGACGCGCTCGACTCATCAGCGACTGGCTCACTGGGCCCGACTGGCCCCTCGTCGGCTTCCTTCCTCTTTCGGTCCTTCGAGTCTGTCTGGTCCTGGGACTGGGCTCCCTGACTGGCCGCCGCTGCCGTCGCCAGCGCTGCTGCCGCCCCCAGGGCCGCCATGCCGCCAGGGCCACGGGCAGTCGACTCTTCAGCTTCCAGCAGCAGCCCCAGGGCGGGCGACGGGGCGCAGGGGTCCAGGTCCACGAGGTCCAGGGAGGTGAGCGGCCAGGAGTCTCTGAGCCCCGACTCTGTGATGTGCACCTCGAGGGCCGCCGCGCACCTGGCCACCTCCTTCGCCCGAGCCAGGCAGCCCTCCAACATCAGGGCGTCGTGCTCCGCGATGGCGTGAAAAGCCTCTCCTTCCGTTGCCCTGGTGTCGGCGCGCCTGCTGCCCACTAGCTCGAAGAGGGTGAGATCACCGTCCTGCACCGCGGCCTCAGTGCGGTGGGCGGGCACGAGGCGTATGGTGACGCCTTCCGCCGCATCGCCTACCCTGGCCCATACGTGGGCGTGCAGGGAGCTGGGGCCGCAGGCCTTGGCCAGGTTAGACGCAGCCTTCACCGTGCTCAGGCAGTCGCTGAGCAGCGTGTATTTCCCGATGATGTCGGCGAGGCCGATGGCGGCAGCGTAGTCCTCGCCCGCCTTGGCCGTCTGCGAGGGGAGGTCGCTGGGGGGGCACTGCTCCCCACGCCTCGGCGATGAGCCTCCCCTCTGGACCGTGCACGATGACCGCCCAGCCCGCGCTCCTGACGTGCGGGAAATCCCCGTTCAGGCACGAACCGTCGGTGAAGACGAAAGACCCATCGGGTACCACCAGGATGCCGTCCCCCCAACCGCAGGATCGTCTCGCCCAGCTGTCATTCCAGGCTGGCCTGGCCACCAGCAGGCTGATGTCGGCGAAGAGCCCCTGACTGAAAAGCTCGTCGAAGGGGGGCCCCATGCGGTGGACCTGCACCGCTGCCTGACTCACCTGGTATGGGCAATAGTCCCTCCTCCAAGCCGCCCAAGCTGGGCACACATGGTGTCTGTGGTGCATCGTCCCAGGGGCGGCGCCACATAGCTTGCACGCCTCGCCAGACGGGCCTGGGGCCAGCTGGCCAGCGACGCCAAACGTCTCAAGCAGCCTTTGTGGTGGCCCGTCCAGGTTTCAGACTCTTTGGCCCCTAGGAGCTGGTTGATCGGCGTCCACCACGGCGGCAGCTCCCACTGCCAGAAAGTCTCGGGCCTGCTGACGTACTCCTCGAGCGAGGCCGCCTGACGCGTGTCCTCCTTGACCCTGGCGGCGAGGAAGGCGGGCGAGAACCTCATGACATCGAACTCGCTGCCCCCCCTGTCGGTCAGGATGCGACCGCCTGATCTGAGGCCCCAGCCGACACGCCCTAGCGTGAGCACCAGCGCCGAGACGGGGTCGCGCACCGCGGCCCACGGCCTCTGCAGCGAGGCCAGACGGCTGCTGTCCCTGAGGCAGGCCTGCACTGCCGCTGGCGAGGCCTGGCCAGACCAGCTCATGGCCACAAAAGCCTGGACCGCCATGCCCGTCGCAATCACCAGCGGATCCTGCCTCCAGCCCTGGGGCGCGCACTGCAGGCAGAACGTCAGCGCGGCGCCCGTCGGCAGGTTGCAGGCGGCTTTCGCCGCTGATATCCTGAGCGCCCTCATGCGCCCAGGCGGTATCCAGCTGATGGCCAAACCCCACAGGGCCTTGGCAGCGGGGCCTGCCCTCTGGATCTTGGCCTGCCTCATCCCCGAGCCGAAGATCCTGGTGAGGTTGTTGCCCTGCCGCAGCGCCGCCAGCTCCCTGGCCACCTGCGCGCCGACCCTGCGGCGGCTGCCCGCTGTCGCGTCGCCTCCGAGGTCGCGGCGGCCAGCGACAAAGGCTTCGTCTGCGAGGACCCAGTTGGCGTGCTGCTGCAGCTCTCTCCTCAGCTTCACTGAGGAGGCCAGGGCTTTGGTCTTTCCCCAGTTGATGGGGAGCCGCTTGTCCCCCAGCATGGTGGCAACTCCCTTCGCGAACCTGGCGATCTGCTCGACGACGAGCCTGCGCGCGCCGATGCCGTGGCCCGAGATGTCGTCAATCACGTTGACCACCCTGCCTATCGGCAGCATCTTCCTCGACTGCAGCAGGAGGTCGTAAAGCATGATCCTCGCCATGGTCGTCGCACAGGAGCAGCCAGCAATGACGGTGTCGTCTATGACCAGCCGCTCGCTGAGGGCTAGGTCAGCCCTGGCCCTGCGAGGGCCCGAATACAGCACACACAGCGCCTGTATCAACCCCGTGTTGAAGCCACAGCCCCGTGCCGCTTCGAGTAGCAGCTCGTGGCTGATCTGCTCGTAGAACTTGCTGATGTCGAAGTAGACAGATGCAGCATCGAAGTTCTTCTCTCGCGCTAGGCCGAGCAGAAGGTTGTGAATGTAGGCCGCCCTGTCACAGCAGGTGTCCGTGTCT